TCGGCATCTTTGACAAAGCGCGTTGATCAAAAATAGCGTACTCGCAGAAGACGCCCGGGGCATCCAGACCACAGACTCCTCGCCCGGTCTCTACAGTGGGGGCTGATCCAAAGTCGAAGTTTGGGTAGTAGATGGGGAAGACACGATCCCCAACAGTAAGGTTCTTGACACCGCTGCCCACATAGACGACTTCTCCTGCTGCATCAGAACCCGGAATGCCAGTTGGGTCGTCTTGTTTCCAGGGGTAAATTCCAGTGGCGACTTGAACGGCAGTCAGCTTATGGATGTGATTGGTCACGCGGCTTGACAGGGCTAGAACTCACTTGCAATCTCAGGGTAGTTCAGAGACCACGCGTGGAATTGAACGAGAACATCATGCTCGGAGAGCTTCGGTAAGTCCAGATTGTGTTTCCAGACAAGAGCTGCCGAGCCATCGTTAGGTGCGGTGCCCTGAATTATCCATCCTGAAGTATGTTCGGGCAGCGTCATGTTGTAAATGGAGCTTGATGGTTGATCCTGAGAGGAAGTGTGGTGAGGCAAAGAGTGAGAGTTCCTTTGCTCAACGATTCGTATTATAGTCAATCGACGAAGAGGACCCTTTCATAACCAGAGGCATTCCCTGCAGTCATACTACAACCCTCACAGCACATTCTACGTGCAGCGATGATGAAACTAATTTGTCAGATGACGTCTGAGGTGGGCGTTATCCAACAATAACATGCGTTGCCGCCACCAAAGTTTTCTTGTTTGTTCTCAAAATTGTTCCAAAAGCCCTTGGCATAAAGCTTGCTTTAGCCGTGGGACTGGGGGTGTCATTGGGCTCACGATCAATTTGTCAGGTACCTCATTCATCAAGAGGACGTCTGCGCCAAGCAGCGAGTCAATTGGATGAGCATTATGTTATATGTCATGTGGAGTTTGTATCTGCGGTCCGAAACGTGTCTTCTTGCACGTCTCCAACTCGCAATTGTAGACTCCAAGTCTCCAAGTCATGGGTCCTGATGGTGGGGTTAGGGTCTCCAACACTTGGTTTTTTGGGTCCACGAAGTGGAGGGATCTACGTAATGAAGCATTCAAGACCCAGTCGCCCAGTGCCATATGGCTCTCTGGGGGTATCGGATATCTCAAGTCCCTGTGTATAAAACAGCAGGTTGGATCTCCCTGATGTGCAGTGATAGACACATAACAACAGCCTAGGAGTATGCGAGGAGGATAGGCGTGAACAGCCGAATATCGGCCAAAACGGAACGCTTTTCTTGTTCATGTTCACTCTATCACTTACGTAGGCCTAAACCTGTCAACATTTCTTCTTCAGCAAATTGGATAACAAGGAAATGAAAGCATGTGCATTTAGATGACATGGAACCACGGAAGCCGTTCACACATAAAGCTTGAAACTCTCAATCAGTCCGGACTTCGAACATTGCGAGAAAGAAAAACAAGACAAAAAAAGGGGAAAAGCGAAAGGGTGTCTTTGAGGACCTTGCCATCTCCCAAGTCATAGCGTAAAGTGTGGGAATGAGTTGGTCAGTCATCCAGGTTGGCCACAAATGTGACCAAATATTGGGCCTGAAGGCAGCCTGCCAGGAACCAGGAGGCACATTCCCCGTCTGGAACAATCGGTGTTATATCCCCCCTCGCTTCTCATGCCCAGATACAGTTTCCATCAGCAAAAGCATTGAAATCACGGACGACATACACACTCAACAAGCACAAAATTCAACGAAGACGAGCAAAAATGGATGACCGTGGCCCGTCACCATCTCTGAGTTATTCACTCTGTGATGCCGAATCTGTGTCCAGTTGGCAGACATGCTTCAGAACCGAGACATCGGATCTCCAGAAGGAGGATGACGTACCAATACAACCATCAACAGCATCGGAAACTCCTTGGAACATGTCCAAACTCCTGTCAATGTCGCTGAAAGGGATTCAAACAGAACACGGCCGCATCCTGCGCAGAAGTAAAGGCCTAGAGAAGAAACTAGAGCCTTTATTTTACGACTTGGATTTCTGGTCCTCCTACGCGCAGATCGAACAGCTTCAGGTTCAAGGCATCGCACTCGAAGCCCATGAACAATTCGTCAAGGATTCCAGGAAAAGATAATTTGAGGACATGGACGTCACGCGCTTTGGAGCCTGGTTGAGTGAGACAGAAACACAGTACAGGTGGCAAGCTCGCCACTTAGCACACCAAAAAGCCGTTGACATTTGCAACCACCAAGTTAACAAGTCTGACCCCGACCAGGGGCAACTAAAGGAAAATTTCATGAACTTCTTCCGAGGCTCAAGTCATCGGCCAAACTACCAAGATGAGAAAATATCGCCGTAGCCAGCTGGCGAAAGATGGACCAGCAAAAGAGATGCTGACGAGTGACCGATAAACAGATTCAACGCGCATGCCGACGCTGGGGAACCTGGGGTTATGAGATATTCGAAAATTTTGTACGAAACTGGCTCTTCGACTATTACTTTTTGGAGGCCATGATTGCATGCGAACGAGCATATCCTGGAGAGCATGAGGTTGAGAAGGCTGAAGCTAAAGAGGCATTCAAAATTTTCAACTGAACTTGATAGCCCCCAGAAGCTATACCAGCAGTACGTCTAGGCAATTCATTTCTACCTGTATACACGTCTAGTCCTTGTCTAAAGAGTCTTGATTTCATTGTGCGATGTGATAATATTGAAGCGTCCCCAGATTTGAGTCCATTATCGGCTCTGTCTACATGTATCCACTAGGGCGTGAAAATGTCTTGTTGTCCTCAGGACGGGTTGAAAGATTAAGTGAAATGAGGCGAGCCATCCAGTTAAACCTTGATGAAATACCTTTTTGCTTTTGGGTTTTAAAAAAAGGGTAAACAAAAGACCTGTGTGGTAGGAAGTAAAGTGGTCGATATGGCGACTACAGGGTAATCACTACCCCTACGACCACACGTTCCTCCGATATCTAAATGGTGTTGATATATAGACACGAAATTCTCCCTTGAAACTGGAAAAGTGTTTTCTAACCGCTTCATTGACTTCAATATCGATCAGTTCGTGTCATTTTCTTTTAGACCCGTCACAGTCATGGAGCAGTCAACTGAGAGCATTCTGTCGCAAGAGACCGTCAGATACCGCCACCAATCTGAAGATAGTCACCAGTTTTCCTTTTACAACACGGGATTTTGTACTTCTTTTCTATCTCGGCGCGCCCAGAACCAGGAGAACAGCCCGATTTTCCGACTTTCCGATCACGTACTCCTCGACATAGTCCGTTATCTTGGTCCTGTCGAGCTTTACTGCGTTCGACAGGTTTCCTCGCGGTTTGCATCCATCTTCACGAGCCATAATCGGCTGTTCGCAACTGCAAGCCCCCAAAAGGCAGGGAAGCACAATCTTGGCCGCCCGAGATACCAGCGAGCGCAGCAGACTGTCGAGCCGCATGGTCACGACAGCGCCAGTCTCACCGGCGCACATGAGCCTATCGTTAAGTTCAATCAGAGTATTATCTCGGCCCATCACAAGGGTATTATCAAGGATCTTCTTCACCTTGATGTCTGCCGCGAGTGTCTTCCCAGTGCACATTTCCGACCTTATGGGGGGAACGGCTACCCGCACCCGACACCCTGCACCGGCTGCAAGATCAACCATCGATGCACATTATTTTCGAATACTCAGTATACATCGCCACGCCCTGTGTGCATTGCTTGGGAGGGAAAATTCAGGCTTTGTCGCCACAAATTCCTGTCTCTCTCGGAACCCATCAACCACAAGAGGCGGCAGAACGGAGAAAACACAACATTCGAATGTACAGATTGCAAGAAGTCACTTGTAAATGTCGGCGATGTGCCACCAAGACTTCTGCGAACGCCAAAAAAATAGAGTCATGGCGACCTGGAAGCTAACGGTCTGTACTTTGAAATCGGACCAAGTTGTCACCAAGGACCTCTTGAAACAGGGTCTATCCCAATTACAGCCACATAACGATTACCTATGTCCACATACGGATTTCGAAGACAGCTTTCTGTTGCGTCCATTCGATACCAACCGCTGTCTTTGCTTTCGGACAATCGCGGCTTCAAATGCATGCCCGGAACATTCACCGCCCATGGCAGATAGGTGCTGCATATGCCGCGGCAATTTTGACAATCTTGCGGGAAAGTTCATGGCAGGCTGTGAACTTGATAGTCAACACACTGCGAGCTGCGTCAAGTGCGTGGCGATCTATCGTTGGACGTTGGAAGGAAAGAAGGTGATGCTATCGGGCACAAGAGTTGTCTCAGATATGGAAGTGGTCCAAGATGCGAAGGGAAAGTCGGAGGCGTGGCTGACGCCCAAGGTTGAGGACTTGCCACTGTGGCTCAAATCTCTGGATCCAAGCTCTTACGAGGGTAATAAAGACACATGGGACTACCACATGTGGAACAAGGATAGTTGCCATCGCTCAAGAAGAAAAGGGCTAGCTTGGTACGTCTGAGCATTTGTAGCTTGGTTTTATTCAAGAGCTCAGTAGCTGGCTTTGGAAGTTGACTCGCGCTGCATAGAGGAACGCCATATCATCAGGATAAAACATCCAGAGGAAGTTTCCATTGAGACAATTATTATGCATTTTCTGAGTTTCACGACAGAGTGATCGGCCTCGACGTTAGCAGCCGTACGTGTAGCCTGAGTAGCGAAATTGGTTCCGACAACATGCACATACGGGTCTTTGTGTAACATTGAATGTTTGCTCGTACAATCAACCAATAGCAACTGCGCTGACGGTACAATATGCAGTTGATTGGGTCCCATCTTCAGTACACGCTCTCATTGGGGCAATAAAAGTACTGTGCTGTGGTGATTTAACAAAATTCGATCAGGCTGCCGCGACGGCATTCCTTTCTTTCTTCATGATACATCTCCGGGCCATCTGGAAGTCTCCTTGACGCCTTTAGCCTAGGGCTTGCCTCTAGGATCACAAAGGTCCCGATTTCTCTTATATGATCTCCCGCGGGAACCACGTCTTGTCATTGTCGATCATGGAAGCTCTTCGCGCTGCAATTGAGGCAGCGCAAAGTGCCGGAGAGCTACTCTTGGCCCAGCTCAGACCATACTGTGGGGAAGGGTTTGTTTGGGAGCGCCTGAGTGAGCTGAAAGACGTCACCAAGATATGCGACCGAATTGAACTCGATCCCGTTCTCGGGCGCGACCGTGACACCGAGGCCAGTCTGAAACAGTGTGCCGACAACGTCTCAGATATCAAAGTCCTTCTAGAGGAGGCCAATTCCTTCAGGAAGAATCAGCGCTTCAGACAGCCATGGAAGTCTCTTGTCCGAGAAGATATAGAAGAAGAGTCTGTGCGTCTCTTCAATAGGCTCCAGAGGGAGAGGGCGGCGTTGGAGTTACACATAGCGACTGCCACTTCGTATGTATCGTCCCATGCATCTCTCTTGAATACCTAAGTGACTGACCTTTCCGCAGGGATGCTGAGTATCAAATGGGCGTAGCTGCCACAGGAGCCCGGAGACGCTTTGCTGCCTTCAGCCCCGCCGATGTAAATTTCCTTCGTGACGAAATCTTCATCACCGACCCACGTGATGACAGATCCTCTCTCATCTCTGCCAAAGGGGAAAGAGCCGACGGAACTTGCATGTGGGTGCTCGAAACGGATGCCTACAACGCATGGATGAATACCCCATGTCCAGGACTGTGGATCACGGGTGGCCCAGGGACGGGCAAAACCATGATGTCAATTTTCTTGACCGAACAGCTTGAGCTCAAGGCCGCAAGGTCGGAGGCAGAGAATGTTATCTACTACTTTTGCGACAATCAAAACGACTCAAGAAACGATGCCCTGGGAATACTCCGAGGTCTTATTTGGCAACTTGGTAGCATGAAGCCCAGCCTGATGAAACATGGGCTATCTGACGTGCGTCTAGTTGACGCGAATCCCCTTTTTTATTTGCGGATGTTTGATTTGCGAATGGAGATCCTCTGTCGAATTTTCAACAACATGGTTGAAGACTTGGATGCTGGGTGCGTCTTTTGTGTCATTGATGGCCTGGACGAATGCGATAGCACATCCAGCGATTTAGTCAACTGTCTTCTGGGTGTGAGCACGTCCAAATTCAAGCCACTAGTTCTCAGCCGACCCCTGAATCAGCCACTCACGAGGTCACTCTCTAATTATTTGCGCCTCCGTCTTGACACCGACTTGCAAAAGGAGATAAAGGCAGATCTCAAGGCCTTCATCCAACAACGAGTGCAGCAACTGTCAGACGATGGTGGCTATCCGCCAGCACTTCAACAAGTCATTCATGATACCTTCATACAGAGATCAGAAGGGACATTCCTCTGGGTTAAGCTCGCGGCGCAGGAGCTCGAAAAGAGGCCATTGGCCGAAGTCGAAACCTGCCTCAGCAGCCTGCCTTCTGGTCTAGATGGCATCTACAGCCGGATTCTGAGGAGCATAGACCATGCATGCGCTGGATCTGTGTCCCGCCTTCTCACTGTGATCACGACGGCTTACCGTCCCCTGAGCATCGAAGACGCGGAAACCCTACTGGGCATTCAGCCTGTTGGTCAATTAACGGCCTCCGAGGTAATGGAATCAGTCGTCGCTCAATGCAGCAGCCTTCTGGTCCTTGTGTGTAAGCCGAGGAGTGAGAAGAAGGTCATACGATTGCTGCACCAGTCGGTTAAAGACTACCTCTTCCGCTCATCAAAGTACGGCGACCGCGGCCTGGAGGCGTTTTATTTTCAACATAACAAGGCGCATCTGCAGCTCGCAAGCCTTTGTCTAGGCATATTGGAATCCCACTACCCGGAGAATTTCCGAACCACCCGAGACAGGAGTTTCACGGGAAAGTATGCAGTAGACTGTTTCAAGCATCATGCCAAAGACAGTGGCAGCGAGTTTTCGTCACTGGTGCCAAGGTTCTTATTCTTCTTAGTACCATTGATGGATGCCGCAGAAGATATGGTCGACTGGCGCAGTTCTATTCACAACGCATCACATTTTGGCGTCTTGCCTATTGTGAGGCATGTTCTTGACAAGCCCCTGGGCCTTTACAAAAGTATTCGAGGATATACCCAAGGAATGACACCGCTGCACATTGCCGCATTTTGGGAAAACGATGAAGTGGTTCGCGTCCTGCTCGAGAAGCAGAGACGCCTACCACGAAAGTGGTCAGCGTCTTCAACGAACTCGGCTGGAGAAACCCCTCTTCATATCGCTGCGGGACGAAGACCAGTATCTTCTGTACAAGCTCTTCTTGACTACAAATCGGACCCCAATATACGAAATAACCAAGGCCATACGCCGCTGCATAAGGCGATATATATGGACCATGCGGAGTCCGTACGATTATTGTTAGCAGCAGGAGCCCAAGCTTCAGCTCAGGATTTCTGTGGTCGTACTCCACTGTACTTGGCAGCCGCATTTGATCTCAAGCACGGCGCCCACAGCGGTCGCTTCTGTCACCCCAGCACTGATTCAGTCATGAAACAGTTGCTCGAAGCAGGTTCAGACGTAGACCGAGGAGACGAATACGGCATTTTGCCGCTGCATATCGCAGTTCTCAGGAGCTGCGCCAGGCACACTCGCCTCCTACTGCATTGGAGTGCGAACCCTGCTATTGCAAATTATTGGGGATTCAAACCACTACACTACATAGTAGGCGACTCGGAAATCCTTGCCTCTATTGATGAATATAGAGCAAACGATCGGTACTCAAACTCGCGGAAAGGAAACATTTTCAGCCAAAGCTCTGGCAACCGAAACGTATCAACCGCGAACTTCCCGCACGGAAACTATAGCATCTATGTAAGTTTGCAAGCGTGACATAAGTTGTATCTTAAGACTGGCCTGCATTAGCGACCGCAAAGATTTCAATACTTGCGTCTTTTCAGAGCTAACATGTCCATTCTTACTTAGGAAGGATGGGGCGACGCCAGAGGTCGGCTTGCCGTCTCAGAGCACAGGACGTACGTCTTCATGCATGAGGAGCAACATAACGCAGGCGTCAAAGAGATTCTAGAGTGTTTCAAGTCCAGCGGAGCGGATCTCAATGTCCAGGCCGCAGATGGCACCACACCCCTGATGTGCTGCGCGTATCGAAACAAACCGACGTGTTTGGTGGCAGCGAAGTGGTTGATAGCAGCTGGAGTGGACGTTAACACGCAGGATGATCACGGTGACTCATGTCTACATATAGCGGTGGTGCAGCGTAAACGAAGTCTCGTGGCTGCGCTCATCGATGCCGGTGCCAACCAAGAGTTGCAGAATGAAAAGGGCATGACTCCTGCAGACCTCATACAACTTCGCCCTGAGTTCTGGGAGGTGCTGGAGACAGAGGTCAAAGTTGAAGAGGTCGAATAGTATGATACGCCTTTCTTACGTCAACCTTTACAGATAAGAATCAAATGAGAATGCGCGCTTTTTCTTCACAATTCTCGCCCCTCTGCAGTGTGTCCCCCTTCTTGAACGGTTTCCTTCTGCCGCCTTGCAGCCTTGGCAGCCTTCCACCGGTAATACCGCTCATCATACTTCTGGGTGCTTTTCTTAAGCTCTATGGTCACCGGCAGTGTCTCCTCTAGACTTTCCAAATCTTGGGGATATCCGGTTAAACAGCACTCGAAGAGGATGACGTCGCCTTCATCTACTCTCTCCAGAAGCTCCTCCCAAAGTTGTAGAGTCTCCTCCTTGTGTTCATTAAGAAACGGATGTATCTGTGTCACGAAATCCTTGAACGTGATCGCCCCGCCGTCGTCCCGTTTGACCACCATCTTAGGGTCCTTGTATTCTTCATTGTCAAGGGTGTGACATTCTTTGCCCTCTTGCATGCCGATTCTGATCAGGAGCTCGGTCAGGCCGTAGTTGGTGACGGGTTCTTCGGCCAAGGGATGTCCGAAGAAAGGGCGTTTGGGCGAGTCCTGCTCGTCCTCTTCTGGGTCGTCGAAGACTTGGATCTCCGAGATGTCTTCATACACTGGCCAGTACAGCCGGCGAAAGGCGTCCATGCGGAGGATGGGCGGGACATCCTCGGGGTAGTCCGGGTATGCCATGCGTGCATCTGAGGCGGGCCATCGACCTATCCACCACTCCGACTCTGGCTCCAGTGGTTGAGGCATCAAAGATTTCAGGAAAATAGTCAGATGGCTTTGAGCATTGTGGTAGGGGCCTCTTAAAACACACCCCCCCTAGAGTAGTGCCCACCCTCTCGCGCCATAAGAGGAGGCGTAGACAGGCCGTAGGGGCTAGCACTAGCAGCCTACCCACTAAGTAATAAACTTTTAGCTACTAGCCCACCTAAACAATTATTTTGCTACTAAGAAGGCCTCTAGAACCTAGTCACTTAGATTCAGCTAATTAGAGGCTAAGGATTAACTTTATATAACTTTTATAATTTAGATTTTTTATTATAGTAATTAATATAACTTAATAAAGCTAAATTTTTTATAATTTTAATTAAAAAGGTTAATAGAAATAGGAATAACTATTAATTTAAGCCTTCTAAAGCTTCTAGAGGGCTTAATCTAATAACTTAATAATATTAATATTACTAGTAGCTACCTTTACTATTACTATAGTTTATTACTACTTAACTTTATATAACTTTACTTTATACTATAATACTATAGAATACTAGCTATCCTAGTAGTCCTAGTTAGTATTACTACCCTATATCTTAATAGCTTTAACTTTAACTATAAGCCCCTTATTACTATTAAGCTAGATATCTACTTCTTTATAAATCTTATTCTTATCTTTAGGCATAGTGCTATTATATTACTAATAAGCTTATAGGGCCTTTATACTAAGTTTATAGGGGTTAATACCTAATATTTTAAGGTGTTATAAGCTGAGGTCTATAGTTAAAGTAATTAGTAACAGAAGGTCTGCTACTAATACTACTAGCGTAGTTAATATTAGTAGTAAAGCTAGTAGTAATAATAGTGATATCTTAATTATTAGAGTGACTATAAGCTTAAGCTTAGTATTAGTAGTAGTAGTAGCTTAAGTAGTAGCTTAAGTAGTAGTTAGGCTGATAATATCTCTATAATTAATATACTTACTAACTTCTGCTACTATAGGGATTTAATAAGTGCTATTAACGCTATAGCCCTTCTTATAGTTAGGCGCACTATAAGGGCAGCCCTTACCCTTAATAACTTCTAGCTTAAGAAGAGGTAGGTTATTAACTAAAGCCTCAGCCTTAAGGTCTATATAGCGTTAAAGCTACTAATAGTAGTAAACTTAAGTAATCTTAAAGGTGTTACTACCCTATATTAAGCAGTAGAGTATATACTAATAAGGCAGGCTATAAGTCTTCTATATAGCATAAAGTAGGTAAGGCATAGCGTTAACTAGTAGGGGGGGCAGCTAGCTAACCTACCTATTATAATAGTTAAGTATAAGTCTTCAGAGGTTATTAGCTATATATTTAAAGGTAGTTAGTAAAATAAAGCTCTTAATATAGCTAAAAAGCATTACTTCCTTACTAGTAAAGTTAAGTTATCTATTCTTCTTTACTACCTACTCTTATAATATCTAAATTATAATACTAGCCTATATATCTTTTAGATTAAGGAAGATCTTATTAAGAGATAAGTTACCCTTATATAAATATAGCTTAAGGATGCTATTCTAGCCTTCTATAGTAGAGGTGATAGTATAACTGAAGTAGGGGTATTAATTAACCTAAAAAGCAATAATTTTTTACTTCTAAGGCATAATCTAAGTATTAATAGCATATATAATAAGGTAAGTAGGCTAATAACTATCTTAGAAGGTAGTAAGCCTCTTATTAAAGATCTATTAGGTTAATAAAGTGTAAAGCTCTTACTAAATAGCTATAAAAGCCTTTAGTTAGTCGTCTATTTTATACTTATTACTATCTTTAGTTAGGCGAGGGAAGTATATCTTAGCCTTAAGTTAAATGTTCTTAATGATATACTATATATAAAATATATATAGCACTTCACTAAACTAACTTATATTAAAAGCTTAAAATAAGGTAAGCTCCTAATCAGTAGTAATATAGCTAAGTAACAGAATATCTTATTTAGTGAGAGCCTCTATAAGGTAGTTAAAAGCCTACTAATAATTAGCCTCTTTTTCACTACTTAAAAAGGTAAAGCTAGTATTAAACGTAGAGTTATAAGAGGTAATATTAATAAAGTTAAAAAGTAATATATTAAAGTAATTAGTCTTATATATATAGTCTATAACTAAAAGGTCTAAATAAGCGTAGAGAAGTTCAGTATAAAATTAAAGTTAAATAAAAAGATAAGTAATATACCCCTGCAGACCCTACTTATAGCAGAAGAAGTAGTTAAGCCCCTATAGTTTAAAGAAGAGCTACTTAAGAGAGGTCTTCTCACTAAAGAGGGTAGTATAATAATAAATTAGAGTATTATTAATATTATAGTAAGAGACTATAAAGTTCTCATTACTATTAGTATACTAAAGGTATAATATAATCTAAGAGGGTTAAATACCTATAGCGTATAGTAAAATAATCTCTTCTTCTATATCTTTAAGTATAGCATACCTAGTAGAGGTGAACCTAGTAGTATTAACCTATAGGTAGTTATAAATAGCAGCTGTAGGGTTATTAATTAGTATAATAATATAAGAGCTATTAGGATTTTTAGTAACACTAAAGTAGAAGGGGTACCTAGTTAGCTATAAAGAGGTCTCTTAGTAGTAGTCTTCCTAAGTAGTAGTATAACTTATATATATATACACCTTACTATACTTAAAGACCACCCTAGAGTGGTAAGTAAGGGTCTTATTAAGCCTGTAATACTTAGTAACCTTTATAGTGTAACTATTAGTATAAGTATAAGCATATAAGGCCTTAGAGAGAGCTTTAAAGTTATTATACCTAATGTTAGAGGTAGGAGGAGGGCTATAGGTATAGTTAGTAGTAGCAGTAAGATTAATACGATCTATTATAGGTAAGTAGGCGAATAGGTAGGTAAAAAGTGTGTTTTTTTTATAAGGCTTAGATAAGTTATTAATAAGGCAGCTAGGTAGGCGCTACTACTACTACTGTAGTATATATACTTAACGTATTACCTAGCTAGTAGTATTACGTACGTCGTGAGATACCTTAAATATTCTTATAATAACTAGTAGTATACATTACTATAGTAATATTAGCTGAGGTAATCACTAATATTAGGTTTCTAGGCTCCTCATAGAGTTTGCGCTACATCTAGGGTGGGCAGTAATTAAGGGGGGGTGTGTTTTAAGAGGCCCCTTGTGGTATCAATCTGTAATTCTCAAGGGGTGGATTAAGCTATGAACTCACCTGGAAGTCTGAACATTCCAGGCGAGTGGTTCCTTTATGGAAGCAAGGGGGGGAAGCTAGCTAGTCTGGATAGAGTAAGCGTGATTTCAGCAAGAAACAAAACAAAAAGGAAGTCAACATTGAAGAGCTTTTAGTGCTTGCTCAGATGTCCAACACGTCCAGTTCGTAAGTCAAATGGTTTTCTCAAATGTCCCATGAAATTGATCAGAAGACGGTATTTCAGTCCCAAAAACAATAAATAACAGTCACTGTAACACCTGATGTCATATCACACTCCAAGACATCTCAAATGTGGCTCCACGCTAACACAAGTCCGTCAGCGGCACCACCCTCCCCCGCCAAAAGATTCAGCCTCAATATCTTGTCCGCCGATCATCTTTCCTCGTCCCGGAAGCAACAACCTCCAGAATCTATCTTGGCAGTGCATTCGGGGAGACGAGCCAGACACAACGTCGTCTTGGCGGGATGGCTTTCTCTTAGCGTCTGCGATGTCTCTGATCCATTTCCGACGACGTCAGTCCAGTTCAAGCACTCGAAAATGGAGACATCAAGACGTATATAATACGGACCGCATTTCAGCTGCTGAGTGGGAAGAATCCCAATATCCCCAGGTTTACCTCAACTCCATCCCTCAACAACACGACGCCATGAAGCCCCAAACCACGAACCTCCTCCCGCTTCTCGCGGCATCCCTCTCCTCAGCCTCGCCCCTAAGCATCCTCCTGCCCCCGATATGCCCAACAGTAGGCCTCCCCGCAACCCGCGCCGCCCAGGTCCGCGCTGCGTTCCAGTCCTCCGGCATAGTCGCCGACGTCCTCACCTCCATCAACCCAACAACCGAGCTCCAGGTGCTCTACGGTAACATCCCAGAGAACCTCGGCAACACCTTCTCTGCTCTTCGTACGCCCCTCCTCCATCCATTTCCCTTCCCCCTCTACCTAAACCAAACCATGCGGCTAATGACAAACGCAACAGAAACCCTCCAAGAACCAACAATCTCCTTCCCCCCCGAACCCCTCCACCCCCCCTCCACAAAATACACCTACATCCAAATCGACCCCGACGCCCCGGGCCCCTCCCTGCCGCTCCTGCGCTCCTACCTCCACCACATAATCTACAACCTCCAGCCCTCCTGCGTCTTCGCCCAATCGCCCGTGACCCAAGCGCGCTACATGCCGCTGACCCCGCTCTCCGTCGCCCCGCACCGTTACGTCTCGCTGCTCTTCCGGCAGCCCGCCGGTTCGGGAGAGTACAAGCCGCCGGCGCTGAACCTGGTAGAAGACGTCGCCCGCGCGCCGTTCGATTTGGCGGCGTACGTGCAGCAGGCGGGGCTGGTGCTGGTGGGCGGGAACTTCATGAGGGAGGGGCTGGGGAGTAGTGTGTGTGCTTTGGTGCCGGGGTGTACGAGCTCTGGGGTCGGGTATGTCGGGGCACAGAACGGGACGGCGTTGAGGACGGATTTGTTGAGTGGGATTTTGAATTTGTTGCCGGTGAAGGAGTAGTGGCAGAGCTGATGGTCCGCTACTTCGAGTTAATGTAGTTAATGAGTTTCCCATATCCTTGATGAACACGATTGTTGGAAAGGGACTGGGGTAATTTGGCAAAGGTTTCTTCAATTTGTTTGGGTATGGATCTCAAAGGTAGATACTATGGAAAATAGGGATGATGTCGTGCATTGCTTGCCTACGCGTAATCCCATGGGTCATCGCCCCAATCGTCACCAGAATAGTCAACCGCAGGCTTCTTAGCCCACTTGTCGTTAGCGGCAGGAGCCGGAGGCACAATGGGCACTGGCGGGGCGACGGCAACGCTCTTTCTCTTCGAGAACAGAGGCTCAACAGTGAGCCCGCTTTCCACAGAAGGTTGGGAGCTGATCGCTGAATCCGCAGTCTTGGGTGTTGACTGAGATAACGAGCCGGAAGCTGCCGCAACCCGCGAAGGTAGCTGTTGTTTATCAGGCAAAGAGGGAGCCTTCTCAACCGTGACAAGTTGGGGCTTCAACACAGGCTGCGCCTGAGCCTCGGATACGTCCATTGTAGAGACAGAGATGGCAGATACGGATGCGGCATCGGACATGTTGTCTGCTGTGTGTTCACTCGGTGCCACAGTTGCCTGTGACAGCCCACGAGGGGGCAAACTAGAGACTGTTTTCTCCACGCTTTGTGTAGCATCAGCTCGTTGCGATTGACCGACTTGTAGCGTTGGAGCTACCTGGGGTGCCTCGACTGCCGGAACCTGTTGCATCTTCACCATGGACTCTGGGCCACCGGTAGGCGGCGCCAGAATGGGCCCGGCCGGGGGTGGAACGAAGTTCTGAGATCTAGACACTGGCTCAGACGTAACATGCTGCTGTATTTGCTGAAATGCAGCTGGGGCTTGCTGATTGTAGGTTGCTTGGTTGGGTTGCTGCGTTACGACTCGTCCTGTGTTATGACCTTGTGCCGGTCGAGTAGTATTTGGCGAGTGAGGCAACGCTGGGCCATTATTCAGGGACGGTGGTGGCTTTTGCAGCACGTTTGGCTTACCGGAACCCTTCATTATCTTGGAAAGCCAGCCTCCTTTCTCCTTGTCCTTGCCATGTGGCATGACCTGTGGTGTGGATCCCGGGCGCATCACTTGAGCCGGTGGCTGCATTCTCGTAGTGATTGGGGAAATTTGGAACGGATTGGACTGCACAGGAGAGTACGTCTGACCCATAGTCGCGACCGCTGGTGACATCGCTTGAGGCATGGTCGTGACATTTCCTCGGCCGAACATGTTGCCCTGCCCGCCGGGTGACTCCGCTGATGACGGATACTGGGATGATCCTGTTGACAGTTGACGGACACTTGCAGGGGATGCTCGAGGGGCAGAATCTGTGTTCTGGAACGCAGCGGTGCCCGAGGCATTTTGGTTTATCGCGCCAGAGTCATGGTGCTCTTGAATTGGATGAAGAATATGCCCAGGTGTTCGAGGACTAGCAGGTCCAAGGAACTGCTGTGTTGGTGGCGTGACAGTTGGGCGCTGTGGACGGTTACCCGGTGTCGGCATGTTCTGGCCCTCTTCGAGTGGATACGGCATATGTGTTCCTGGCTGATTGCCACCACCTGAGGTGGATGGGACTGGCTGGGCAGAGTGAGGCCTTGGGATCTCTTGGCCTTGCTGATGTGGTTGTTGCTGTTGAGGTCCATACTTAGACGACCCATTTGACGCCGGTTGCACAGGTAGTGGTTGTGAACCCATCACCGCAAATCCCTCGGCAGGCACAGAGTGCCGACGATCTGTAGGCGACTGAGAAGAACCAATGTTGTTCTGGGCCGCGCGTCCACTAGGCGTCCCTGACGCATGCTGCGAGACACCAGGTGAAGGCTTTGACGAGACCATGGCCGAAACCTCAGGAGTGCCCGCTGTGGTGTCAAAGCCCGCGGATCCAGGTGTCGTGGGCTGTGTCGAGGTAGGAGAGGGGCCGGAAAGAGATGCTGGCCTTGATGCCGGGGATCGAAGAGGAGCAGTCTGTATCTCAAACGGGTTTTGTCTTTGAGGCACGGGGGTTGTGGCAGATTCCATGGGGCTTGCGTTCGCATCCGCGGTTCTGAAGAAGCCTGAAGACGGCCGTCTTCCGTTACTCTCTAAAGGCGAGGGTGTCTGGAATGGTAGCCCTGACGATTGACTTCCCGACGGGGGCCCTAATGACGACACCTCGCTAGAGGCATATGAGGTCTGTCTTGGTCTATCTGGAGGCGGAGTTGGCGTCGTCTGGTTGATCACTCTGTCTATCCTAGGATCAGGCCGGCCCTGCATAAAGTCCATAGCCGATTGTGGGCGAGTAGCAATGCTAGTCTTAGGCGGGGATTCAGCCCTAGGAATCGCCGCCGAGCCAGGTCTTGGTGGAGGTTGAACTTGGCCGATCGTAGATACAGGTGTATCATGAGCATTGTGAAGAGGTTGGGGAAGATCAGACCTCGATCTTGCTCGTGCACTGAACGATGAAGCGTGTTGTTGTGATCGGCTTGCGGGTTGACGAGCAGAGTCGGCTTGGCCCGTAGGCCGCTGCAAAAACGCAGGTAAAGTCGGCACTGCAGAAGGTCGAGTCCCAAATTGGGTGGTAGGTGCATGATCTCCAGCCGTATGATGATCTGCGGGCGCAGTCTCGACACGCTGGACACACGGCCGAGGACCCGAGAAAGACTGCGGAACGTGGGTCGGAGCGAGGGGGTGGGGGATTTGCCCCGGCGCCGGCGTTGCGGCGTGGACTCCGGGTCGGAAGGCTGCGAATTGGGTAGATCCCGAAAGTACTTGTTTCGTGCTAGGTGGTGGGGGTAGAGTTGTCGGTGCCTCCTGCGGCCGACCTCTCGCAGGCTTTAGCACGGATGGTACATATTGTAAGGGACCCTTGGAGGGCCCCGACGAATGCATCATACCGGTGAGAACCCCAGACGGTTCGGTTTGCGTTCGTGTTGCATCGGGCCTCGCAGGATTCACGGGGTGTTGATAGAGCGTTTGGGTGGATTCCAACGGTTGCTTCGGGGGTATCTGCGGAGGCTGCAAAACCGAAGGCATGTTTGATGTCTCGTAGCTCTGGCGGGGCCCCAACATCAACGATGCCTCTCGTGCCAAAGAATTTCGGTGGTCGCGGCGCACAAACTCAGGTTCTTTGGGTTGCGACTTGTCGGGAATGGGGTTCGGCGTAGATCCAGGGACGTATGGCTTAAAAGTGCCCTGTTTGGCTCCCGTCTTTGAAGGTTTCCGTTTGATACTGAATGGTTGGGTAGTCGGCGTGGACGTAGAGCTTTGGGTCTGGTGTGGAACGACCTCCGGTAGGGAGTCATCAAGAGGAAGCTTTGGCGGTACAGCGAGAGGCCGCGTACTGGTCCTCGCCTTTCCAGAATTCGTTGGTGAGGAGTTCTGGGGTCTTGAACCTGTACCAAAGGTAGCTCCGTAAAGGGCATGATCACTCATGCTCGTCTGATGTAAAAGGTCGTGAGTTGATGAGGCAGGTGGTTTAGCATCTGATGGACTGGTTCTTTCGGGAAGCTCAGCAATGTCAGGGTCCATGATCCGCGTCTCTATCGGTGCGAGGACAGCGTTGTCGCCCATCTCGACTGGGTCTGGGTGCGTCTCAATGTGCGCAGGCGCGGTATGTTCTGTTGCCATCTCTGCCACGAATCCGACAGGGCCCCAAGGTTGTGACTGGACGGGTGGCGCAGCTGTTGGACGGGGCTTCTCGACGGAGTCGAGCAGTGGTACTCCGGGAGACGGGATCGTTGGTTGACTTGGCCCGGGAAGTTCTTGGGTGTTGATGATCAGCACAGCCTCCTCTGCCACTGACTCTGGTACGATGGCAGATTCTCGAACGGGAACGCTGTTCTTTATGGATGGTGTGTTTGTCTCGCTTTGCAGAGGCGAAACTCCCGTTTTGTCGCTTCCAGCCAGCTCCAGCGTCGTCCTCTCCTTCTTGGGGCTGGCGCTGTCCCTGCTTTTGCGCCTATCCCTCGGGATCTCGTCCCGCTCATCCTCGTCAGCCAGAGGACTCATATCGTTGTATGCGCCAGGTCCGAGATACATCAAGTTCTCGGGTTGGTAAAAGAATCCTGACCCATCGTCGTCGTCAAGCGGCCCCCCGAAACCGCTCCTGCTCATCCCAAAGTCGGCCAGGGGCCCTCCAGTCGCATGCATCTTGGACTTCGGGTCCGGGTCACTACCGGTCCGTCTCTTCATCTGCTGCTGACTCTCGAGCTTCTCTTCGGGTGAGAGATCGGGAATTGGGGACATGGCGTCGAAAAAGTCGGGAAACTCGTCGCCCTCCTTGGGGAAGTGGAATTGGACGTGGCCATTTGGCTTGTAGCGGTAGAACCAGCGGGTGCCATCATAATCCCATTCCCAGTTGGGAGGAAGAGCCGCCATGGCTGCTGAATGTTGTCTGCTGGAGTATTGGGAGGGCTGCTGGCATCAAGCTTTCGTCGAGATTGGGGTTATCGTCGTCGAGGTACTGACTGTGCGAGGTCGAGCTCTTAGGCTTGCTCGGGAACTGGTGATCCGGAGCTCCTACGCAGCTCGTATCGTCACACCGCAGAGACTAAGTGCGAATAAAGAGATCTGCCCGCTGGCTGCGTCAAGATGGCAGTCGTCAGTCGCACTCTCGAGAAGACATGGTCGCGTCGTCGCGAGAGAAGGTCGAGGATTGACAGCGCTGCCGTCCGCGTCGCGACAACGAGGAGAAGGGCGACGGAGTCAACGTGGCGCAGGGCGTTTTTGGCGACATGGTTTCAACCGATAGTCACAGGAGTGAAGGAATTGGTGGTGTCAGCTAGTCTCGATTGAGGCCGAGTGCGGCTGAGGTGCGTCAAGCTGTCTCTCGTTGGTCCCGTTCTCGAGGAAGGAAGCCTTTCAGATCCGGGCGTGGTCGCAGTGGTGCGCCGTGAATAAGCAGCGCCCCACTCCCCCATGCGGGCTGGCTCTTATTTTTAGGGGTCTTGGGGGCACCGCCGGCTGCTTCACCGACGTCTGTGCCCTGGAGAAGCGCTGATTTGCAGTGTTCCCGGCAATCTGCCCCGCCTTCGCTGCTGGAGCTGAGCTTGAGGTCCACTTTGGTTCTGCATCACAGCGGACCTTCATAGCGGAATTTCAGATGGCAGCCCAACTCCTTTTTCATGACATGGCCAAACTTTCATGAAAAGAAAACTCACCGTTTGATATGGTAAGATGCGTTGGTCTTACCTTTTGTCAACTACCGGCAACTGGATGCAGGTTACGCTGAACTCTGCGCTCTGAATAAGCTCATAATCACCAAGGCTTGTCCTTGTCGAGACCATACGGAAATAGTATCAACCACGTCGCCGATGCTTGCGAGGACCAGCCCAGTCCGCCACGTGTAGAAGTGAATTGCAAACTCCAATGCCTCGTACACTGAATATATCTGGTTTGTAGGTGGAAAGCATGCTGGTTTTCTTAGCATCAGGCGAATCGGATTGCATGCGACGAGCAGGCATCCGCGTGCACTGCCCCGCCATCAGAGACAACGGCGGCTAGAACCAACCAGCCAACCGTCCAAGGAAAACGACGTCCAAAAAAAAAAGCTTGAAATTCGACAACATTAGAGCAATCAGTTGAAATTCATCCACAAGCACAATGACAACCGAGAACACAGACCCATCGCGGTCGGCAACGACTTCTAGCGATTCGTCTACTGCACCTCCTACGACAATCTACACGGAATTAAGCTTCTTCAAAGAGCATCCCGGGCTACACTTCCCACCCCAGCCGAAGTCAGAGCCATCAACGTTGCAACGGGCGATCCCTGCTCAGATGAGTTCGACTGTCCACCGCCCGTCATCATTCGTGATCTTGGTCTTTTCATCAAATACGGGCGCTTTGTGACCATTGTCGAGGCATCGACTCAAATCATGGTTCGTGAGAAGCTCCAAGGCGAAGTGGCGGTCCCTGAAGTGTTTGGCTGGGCAGAGGATGGACGTCAGGTGAAATATACATGTCCTTGGTTGAGGGAGATACTCTGGAGGAAAGATGGAGTGACATGGCCGAAGACGCACGACTGGCTGTCTGTAAGGAGCTGAGGGTCATGGGGCATGCATGGAGAGCTTGGAAGCAAGATGAGAGTGAAAGGTACATCGGTGAGCTCGATTTGCTTCTTTTTAGGAAACACAATGTACCAAGTCTGACCTTGCCTTCAACCATAAAGGCAGCCACTTGAAGCAGCCTTTGAACGAGGTCATGCTTCGGGATTATCCCGAAAATACTGGGCCATTCGAAGACCCAAATGCCGTCGAGAAATTCCACGATACTTGCCGCATCGGGATTCGCAGCGAGATGCTCATCGTATTCACGCATGCTGCTCTTCTCCCTCCAAATATCATGCTGACACCAGGGCCACGTCCGAGAATCGCGGCCATCATTGACTGGGAACAGTCGGGATGGTACCCGGCATACTGGGATACTGCAAAGTCAGGCGAATGAATAAGTTCCCTGAGCCTGTACACACAGAATGGGTTGAGACATATGTTCCCATGCTGTTGACACCGGTGGATGAATACACAGTCTACCGAGGGTTCGTAGCTTACGCGCTTGCCCGTGCTTTCTATCGATCTGGGCTATATGGATGTGATATGGAATTCCACTGCAATACGAGCCATATTCCACTCACGATCGCAGTCATACTTATCACATGGATATAAGATGACGCTTCTCATTAGATATGGACTCGTCTTTGTGTGCCTGCAATTCGACTTCCTGTGTACTAAAGTAAACTCGATCCACACTGGTGGAAGGCCAAGCGCGATCCAATAATGGTGATACATGCGGCCACCGTAATATTTCAATCCACAAGAAGTAGCACAGGAAGATAAATGACCCCTTTCCTGCCTCATAGATGAGTCAAAACCACAATGACCGTGACCATTCAGCAAACCGCAGATGGCATGGTGACACCTGCCCTTCGCCGCCGCGACTCTCGATCATGCGCCTGCCAGGCGGGTGCAACAAAACATCGGGACGTTGCTGTGTTTCTTCCGCGCCGTGATACAGCAAGGTCGCCGGGGCAAGACCTGCCGGAGTGGCTTCCGTCTGTAGGTTGCACATACAAGATTGACATGGCTATCGACGTCACTTCCTTCTCTGCCCTCAACCACATGGCTTCCTCATTGGGATTCGGAATTCCCGCCAAGGGGGCGTGATTTGGTATGAAACACAGCCTCGACTCGGAAGAGAAGCTGCAAACAAGAACGGGAAGGACTGGTATCCGACGGCTGGTTTGCCTCTGGGTTTCTTGACTTCTCTTCTCCCCATTTCCTCCGACCTCCATCTTCTTTCAACCTCGACAACGTCAATCCTTCAACCTCTCGTTCTTGGACCACGTCACCTATCACCTCAATTTTGGACCTTTTGGACTCCCAATACTCTCGTTTCAACCTCAGCTCCCGTTGAACTCCTTCGAAATGGCTCTCATCAACACTCTCCACGCCGCCTCAGCTATGTCTTCCATCATCCAGCCATCCTTCGCCATGACCAACCCCAATCAGAATCTCGTTCTGGCTGACTGTGGCATTGGTACCAACCCACTCAACGAATCTTGGTCCACCTCCCGCCAGATGAACTGGTACAAGGGCCCCATCTGGCCTTCTTCTGATGAGACTGGATTCTTCTCCCCAGACATGATGGTCGAGATGCCTTACGGCAATGGCGAGTACCCCTGGAACTTCAAAGGTGCATCTGCGACCTTCTCCAACGGCGAGACATGGTCTGCCTGGATCGAGGACGGCACACCCGAGCCCCTCCGTGCCGGCAAAGCCATGAGCACCAAGGATGGTAGCACCACTCTCTGGTGCTACACCTACCGTGGGCGACCTGTCGGAACTAGTGCAACCGGCTCCACAAGCTGCCAATCTGCCTTCGTCTGCAACCACCGCGAGGATGGCCCGACGCCTTGGTCTGTGGGCACCACTCCCGACAACGGCACTGTGTTCACCATACCTCCTGCTCCTCCTGCCAATGTGTCCTTCGGCGGCATCTTGGGCGTCAAGGTCGACGTCAGCCCCCGTCCTGCGGTCTGGTACGGCACCATCAATCACTTCCTCAGCAGCATCATCTTCACCACGGAGGGAATCTGCAGCCCCAACCCCTTCGCCAATCGCATGAACTCGTCGGTTATAGCTCGATGCAAGGGTTCTTATGGCACTCCTCTCAACATCCTGCCGGTCCTCTTCAACGTCTTTAAGAACCTTGGCTCTCTTCCTGCCTCCGATGGTCTCTTCTTCCACAACCACGGAGCAGCCCCTTTTGCCAACGACACTTCTGATGATACCGTCGTCCTCCCTACAACTTTCAATCTGACCGTCACCGACACCATCAGTGGCGAGGTCAAAGGATATATGGGTTACGAGATGATGTGGCCGGAGCCCAGTCTCGGAATTCACTGCAACGAGTGCAACAATACCAAGTTCAACGAAGCTTACAACTCAGCTATTGCATCTGCCTTCCAGGCTCTCCACCCTATCTACTCCGAGGTTATCGTCGAGAGCCAATGCACACACGACGTTCTTTGCTGGTAATTGCGCTTGTACCTATGGGGGAATTGTGAACAGTCATTTTATGTTCCGGTCTTGTATGTGTATTCCGAGCGCATACTTCTTGGTTGGAATGAAACCGTGGAGACATCATCGATAGAGATTGGGTGTGTCATTACTTTGCTCACCTCGAGCTGTTTAGTTAGGAATTACAATGAGACTATACTTTGATATCGCCCTACGGAGCTCATGTGTTTGATACTCGCCTTCTACTGTCGTTGTCGTCTCTGCTTTCGTCATTGCCAAGTGAGAGCCGACAGCGTCGTGTGTTGAAAGATAGGACGCGGTCCGTAGCCGCGGCGGATGGCCCGAAAGTCGGACTTTTGTCCGACACCCTATCAACCAACCATACAGTGACGTAGTCGCCTGCATGAGAAGCACCCCTGCCACTCCCAACACACTCAAGAGAATCCGGGGTAAAGGGTCTGATAAGTTGTCCTTACCCGCTCCGTCGACCCATGCTGGCGCATCCGTCTGACGACAATCGGCGACAAAATGGACCGATGGGATGTTCATATTGATACCATCCCCTGCCTTTGAAGATAAGCTCCATCGGCCGCCGAGATAGAGCACCAGGCAGCCAATTGGCTCAGAAGCGGCTTCTTGGTGGCTGTATTAAACCACCGTCGATATTGTGTGGAACATTTAGAGCACCTCTCAAGTCAACTTCGCGGTAAACTGTGGCAGCAAGATGCCACCCACAGACGGCAAGATGGTCGAGAAAGACACGACACAAGACGCGACGGACGTCTCCCAGGGAGACTCCAAGACGATCCGGCACCGCTCCCACAACGGCGGGAGCAGGGATATTGCAGCCCACCTGGCGGATCAATTCGCTGACGAGCCCGACTATGATCGCCAGGAAGAGGTCAAGCTTCGCTGGAAGCTTGACTTTCGGCTCATTCCGTTCCTGTGGCTTAATATTACGTTGCCTGCGATGGATAAGATTACGCCGTCGACGGGGGCGCTGTATGGGATGAGGGAGGACTTGGGGTTGAAGGGGGATCAATATGCCTGGGTTGGGTCGGCGTTCTACGTAAGCATCCTTTTTTGTCTTATTAACATTGAGATTTCAGAGTCTGGAGAGGGATTATTGCTGACATGATGCGTCGTCATGGTGCAGTTTGGGTATTTGTTGTGGTGTTTCCCATCCTCGCAGATCCTCCAACGACTCCCGATTGCAAAGTCCATGTGCGCGGTTATGATCATATGGGGCTTCGTGCTCATTGGCGCTGGGTTTTGTCGAAGCTTTATCCCGATGGTCATCACCCGCGTGCTGTTAGGTGCCCTTGAGGCTCCCGTCGCTCCAGGGAACTTCATCATCATGACGATGTGGTACACCCGCGAGGAGCAACCCATCCGCGCCGGGCTGTTCTACACCGGTACGTCTTATCCCAAGTTTCATACACCCTTTCCCGTCTTCATCCTAGTATTGACACCACATCCTCCCCAGGTCTCGCGACAATCATAACCGGCACCCTCGGCTGGGCCGTCGGCTTCCTCCCCACCCACGCCTGGCCCTCCTTCTTCTACATCACCGGCGCCATCTCCATCCTCTACGGCGTCCTCGTCGGCGTCTTCCTCCCGGACAACCCGGTGCGCGCCAAGTTCATCACCCCGCGCGAGCGCTTCGTCGCGATCGAGCGCCTGCGCGCGGACCAGCTCGGCATCGAGAACAAGACCTTCTCCGCGCCGCAGCTGCGCGAGACGCTGCGCGACCCCAAGACCTGGCTCATGTTCCTGTTCAATATCTGGGTGAGCATCCCGAACGGCGGGCTGACCAACTTTGCGCCGCTGATCGTCAACGGGCTGGGGTACTCGCCGCAGCGGAGCACGTTGCTGATGATGCCGACGGGGGTGGTGCAGACGCTCAGTAGCTATGTGTGTAACTTTGGGGTGTATGTGTGTGTGAGGAGGTTTAAGGGGTGCCAGTTGAGGGGGGCGTTTGTTATTGGGGGGCTTGTGGTTGGGATGGTTGCCACGGTGTTGTTGTATACTCTTCCGCTGGATAATTACACAGGGAGGTTGTGGGCTTTGTATTGGTCGTATTTCTACCTCGGGCCATACATCGGTGCGTATAACCCATCCCTTCTCGTGGAGGATCGCAGCTTACCACGAATGATAGTTGCTCTCGGCATCAACAGCGCCAACACCGCCGGACACACGAAGAAGGTCACGACGAACGCGATCGTCTTTGCGTCATACTGCATCAGCAACATCATCGGCCCGCAGTTCTTCAAGTCGTCGCAGGCGCCGCTGTATCCGCTTGGCATGGGCGCCATGCTCGTCTCGTACGCGCTCAGCATCTTTACCATGATTCTGTACATGTTGTACTGTTGGAACGAGAACAGACGGAGGGAGAAGCTGGACCACGACAGCGGGCAGAGGGTCCATCTGGATACGGACTTCCAGGACTTGACTGACAGAGAGAATATTCACTTCCGATACGTGTGGTGAAGGAGGACGTTGGGTTGAGCTTATCACCGTCAGTGCTTCTGTATGGGCAACTTACTTGACAAGCTATTCGACCAACTTAAGCAAGGGACGCTATTGTCACCACCTTAGTAGTCAACTCAACACCCCTTAATTGAATTGAATATTGTCATGCCTCATTCTATGTATAATTAGTTAATTGGAGTGCGTAGATCGGCCACGGCCTTATTTATCTAGGCGGGCTAGCCATACAGGCACAGCACCACACGAACCGTTAAGCCCGTCGGCAATCTGGAACAGAGCCACAAACGGCATCACCTCGCCCACCACCCGCGACGTCCCCTCGAGGCCCCCTGTCTCCTAGGGATGAGAGGGATCTAAGGGCTCTATAGGGGCCCTATAAGAGGGGCCCTGTGTGGGGGGCTTATGAGGGTATGCGTGAAGTTCTAGATGACCCCAAAGTTCACGGATTAAGTAGTCAGGTACGAGTTATGCTATCCGGGCGGGTAGTAAGCATTGACAACAACAGAAACAATACGGACGACGGGACGACGGGGACGACATAGATAATAGGGACGATAAAGACGATTGGGATAATCGATAATTAATATATATGGACTATTAGATCTTATATAACAGTCATTCGCCTGGCTAGCTAGAAGTATCCGTCTGGAGACTCTCAGGTATCGCGCAGTTTTGTACAGCAATTGAATTGTTACACTTACAATTATGCCAATCAGTTAAGGCCTCGAAAAGGGACCTCATCAACAGCAGATTTGGGGTTCATCCCCTGTTACCCTTGCCCCGGCGTTCATCACCATTAGATAGCACGAAATTGGTATCCAAGAACATAATCCAAATCCAAGCGCTTAAGATTTCATGAGCCATCTACATCAAGTACTTGTGAACATTCCACGTCTGTGCAACAGAAAACATGCCCCATCCAGCCATACCCCACGTCATCCACCTAAAGAGCACATTACACAGCTGCATGAAGTTGCGCCTTCTCGTGCGCCCGATAAAGGAGTCACCCTCGTTCACGTATGGGAACGGCGTGTCCGGCACGGGACACCCCAAAAACTTGCACAGTGGCTCCCACCCGTCGCTCATCCTGAACTCGAGCAGGTTCTCCTCGGGCACGATACTGCGGATGTGCTCGTTGTGCTCGAGGAACACCTGCTTACCGTGCTTCTCAAAGTCCCCCTTAAAGATAGTGCTCCAGTACTTGTGCAGCATCGGGTAGTACATTGAGGACGCCCAGTCGACGTAGGATAGCGCCCACAGGAAGGGGTCGTTGGCGCGGTAGTTGACGGTGCCGAGGGCGGACTGGTGCCAACGGTCGACGTCGCGCGTGGTGAGGAGCACTTTCGCGTCCGGGTACGCGGCGATGAGCTCCTCCGCGAAGGAGGCGGCAGGCCAGTCGCAAACGGCCTGGCAGTGCCCGAGCAGCGCGTCCCACTTGTCCTTGCCGAAAGACCCGACGCCGTCGAACTTGGCGGCGAGAGCCTCGCTCCAGAGGAGGCAGTCGGGCGGGTTCTCGGCGCTGGCGTTGAGCATGTGGTAGGTGTCGACGTAGCCCAGCTGTTTAAGGGCTGCGCGAAGAGCTGAGGTTGGGAATTAGGATGGGTTCTTTGGAGTGGAGAGGGAAGGCGGTGCGTACATGCTGTTCCTGTGCGTCCGAGACCTAGACATAGGACCTTCATGGGCACCACGCGCGTCAGTTTGCGGCGGTCGATGTCGGTGTCGTTTGTGAAGACGTCGGTGATTGGCCTTGAGGCGCCCCCTGCTGTTAGGCCCATGATGCCGGCGTGTATCTTGAGATGCTTCTGTGGGTTTGGTATCAAGTATACTGTATACGGGCTAGAAGCAGGAGAAAGGTCGATAGAGCAAAAGCAACACAGAAATGATGCTTTCAAGCAAGTTCTGTTCATCCAGTCAATCCTGCGATTCTTCATGTTTTATGGAGTCTATTTATCTTCAGCGCAGATCTCTGAATGCTTCTCGGAGCTGACCCGAGACCGGAGAGGAGCCACACCAGTGGAGTTGTGTTTCTGCGCTGCAGCAAACTCTGCAATTTCCGATCCATGCCGCACTTTTACGAATTCACGTATGAGACTGAGGAGATCCCTTCTGGAGTCGGAGGCAACCTCGATTCCCGAGATAGAGTTGGGCATTTGTGACCGGGGGGCTGTAGCCAATGTTGGACGAGCACCACGGTCCACAGTACTACTTTCCTCTCCTGGGTCGGGAGGGTAACTTCAATGATTGGTACGTGATGCTGCAAAGTTATCAGATCAAAATGCCAAAAGGTGCTCCTGGTCTGTTACGTAGTTAACTGGGGCTCGGAGGAGTCCGCGACCCTCCTTCGGGTTCAACTGTAAATATCAAGCCCCCGTCGCGGCTCTCGGTAGTTGTAGTTACGACCCACCCAGCGGCCCGGTTCGTGATTTTGAATGTGGACAGCTGAATACCACTTGGCCTGCATGTCGATCAGCCACCAGTGATGTTGGATTGTGAGCTTGTAAGCGCTATGGATACGATGAATTCTCGCAACTCCCCCACTACCCGATGCCAAGCTTTAAAGCCAAGGGTGAAAGCCGTTCCTTGGCTCTGGGGTGTCTCTTGGGCATTAGATCGGCCTCAAATGGGTCCTTATGTCGATTTACATCTGCAAGAATAACCTGACTTGGACGGTTACGTTCCATCGCATGCTGGTCTGCTGAATATACCTATCGTGTAGGAACGAGTTGGTGAAAGCAATGAGCATCACATGTTCGCTTTCCTGTACAGTTACTGGCTCAGAGATGGTTGGCATCAAGACACTTTCCTCCCTCAAAGCAAGAACACCTTAACCTTTATCAGACATCGAACAGTGCTGTACCATTACAACTGGAAGTATTGTGTCACCATTCGCGGTGGGCTATTCGGTGTGGTTGGCCTAGATAGGCAGGAACCTTCCGAATAACGAACTGCCGATGAGGCTTTTGGTCCATGTTATGGGGCAAGAAAAATTTTCAATGTGATGGATCTCCACGCGCGTGTCTCAACCGCCGTGGTCCTGATGAAACACGCGAGAAACCGGGCCGCCTGGCGTGAAAGAATCGATTGAGATTGATTGATTAGATTGATAAGATTGATTTGATGGGCTGCTCGCCCACATCGCGAGAGAAAGAGGGGGCAGCGGAATGTTTATGTTGCAATCGATCGACATTAAGACAGGGGGGGTCGGAGTTCCGAGTCCACAATGATCCATCCAGTGCGGAACAAAATCTGTAAAGATCCACACCGAGTGCCAGAATAGCCAGCGGATAGCGGTCCGAGATCCTGCTGCGGTACCGATAACCTATGACAACCGTCCGATCGTGAGGGCGTCGTGCCTGAGGGTGATTCAGGTTGGGGTTCGTCCTCAGTTGAAGTGTTTGTAGTCCTGGAAATGACGTTCATTGGTAAGTGAGTGACCATCATGGCTCATTGCGTAGCTCGGACCTTGAGCGCTTTACTAACCAATCAACTTATTATGATTGGACAGTTTGACCGAGGAAGGAGTCCCTCCTGTTCCAAGATTCGAATATAAGCAAGTAGTCGAGATACAGGACTGATCGGAAGCTGGGAATAGATGCATGATATTGGTCTGGGGAAGGGGACCCTTTGTCCTACTCTATGCAACCTTATTCTATGGATTCCCTCGCATCTCTTTGAATGCGGCGGCTAGCCTCATGATGCCATCCTGGATCTCAATCACGTCATGCCATGCCCAGCATAACCTAAATCCCACTCCAAAGCTGGCCTTTGCCCGCTCCAAACTGCCAGGGTCACCTGCCACAGTCATCATTCCACCGTGTGCTACTCGGACATTGTGGCGTTCCAGAGCGAGCTCTGCAAACTGTTTACCCGAGATGGAGTCATGAGGTAAGTCAAGATAGACAAAGAATCCTCCAACTATGCCGGGTTCACCTTCGTAAGACTCAGATTGCCTTGGCGCAACAGTGATGCCCAAAGGAGACAGATATTCCAAAATAGCTTTCATCATAGCATGGTACCGCTCTTGATACGTCGGAATCAGTTTCCCGTGGATATGCTCATCCAATGCCCCACTACTCAGAAGATGGCCCATGAACATGGACGACAGATGTCCCTGGCAGCCTCCCGATCTGACGGAACCCAGCTTACACAACTCCTTCGCCATCTCAGGAGACCCCTCGACCCACCCGACTCTCACCCCTGGAGCGACGATCTTGGAGAAGGAACCATTGCTCGCCGTGTTGCCCCAGGGGTCGCCGCCTGGTAAGGCGCGGTCCACATCGACGAGTCTCGGGGGAGGTGGGGGAAGCTCAAATGATCCGGATGCTCCTTGGTCTGCGGGCCAGCGGAGCCAGTCGTACACGTCGTCTGCGATGATCAGGGCGTCGAACTGCCGGGCCAACTCGACCAGTTGCTCCCGGCGGCAGAGAGACATGACCTTTGCGCTGGGATTGCTGAAGGTTGGCACGACGTAGATGACATGCCGATAGACCTTTGGAGACGCCACGGTGCTAATGAAAGCGGGGTTGGGTGGTTCTCTTGTTTCCATCTCCAACAGTCCCTTTCTAAGGTAGTCGATGTCAATGCCCTCGTCGTCCTCAGGGACTCCCCTCATCCGGCTCTCGAAGCCAGCTTCTTGGAACGATGGACATGCTAGGAAATAGGTCGGCTCGATCATCCAGATACACCTAGTGAACTCTGGGTCGGTGAATCTTGTGAGAAGCATGGAGAGCGTTGCCGAAGCTCCGTTGGTGATGAACAAGCGCTGCGGGGATGTTGAGCCAGCTGAAGGTTGGTAGAAATCACTGAGCCATTTGGCGAGCGCTTCTCTGAGGGAGTCTTGGCCCTGATCAGGGCCGTAGACTAAAGCCTTGGCCGCAATGTCATCATTGAGAAGGATTGCCTGGGCAGCATCGGCTAATTGCTTTTTAGGGAATAAGGATGTTGAAGGCCAGCTGCTTATGGTGTTAGCCGTTGAGTACTGGAATAATCCAACTATCTTGTTTCATCCTACCCCAGCTGGAGATTGATGTATGACTTAGGCTCCCGTGAAGAAGTCATCGTAATTTTTACTTTGGTATCCCAATATTGACTGTCGAGTAGCTATGACTTTAGATTACTATGGCACACGACTCTCTATTCTGATTGTATTCTTGTCATGAAATAGCAGCCTATGTCGCTGCCAATGATTGCAGCTTTCAATATTGTCGGACAAAAGTCCGACAGCATTCAGCCTGGCCCGCCACGCCCGCCATCTTGGCGGAGGCCAGCGGTACCAACAGACGTCAGCGACGTGGATCAACGGCCATGGAGCTGCGGGGGCTCAGAGTGCGGGGGAGGTGCATGGAGATATCGATCACGCGATGTGTCAAAAATGAGTGGGCGTATTCACGGTGACATCCTACTGAGAGTTACTAACAGGCTACTGTTGTTAGAACTGCGTGTGATGTTTCGTGACTAGTTCGCTCATCGCAAAATCCTATCTCGACGCGGTCATTGTCCGCCGGTTCCCCCGCAGTTCGTCCGGTCTATTCCCAACGACCGTGAGCTCCAGCGAATACTGGGGCATTGATTGGCGATTCCAGCACGACATTACAAGGGTGTCTGATACGCCTGCATGTCGTTTGATAGGCACTATCTCCTCTCAACAGAGTGTTGAGCTTATCGTTGCCGCATGTCGGACTGAGACGCCGATATCTGAGAGCCGATCACTCTCGCGGCTCTTCCTCAGATGCACTGTCAGACTTCCAATTCATGCTCGCAATCTAACAACACGCCATGATTCGACATTCGAAAATGCATCCAGCAAGCAAGAACCCGCGGAGGATCGCTTGTATTCGTTGTCGGACACGGAAGAAACGTTGCGACCACGCCGTGCCAACATGCGGCGAATGCAGAAGGAGCGGATCGGAGTGCGTCCCGTATGGCGCAAGAAAGTCCGGCTCATTTGCGACAATTCCGGTGGCATATCTCCGCCAGCTGGAGGCGCACGCGGCGGAAGCGCAAAGATCTCCACCTCCTACCGACAGGATGGCCCGCGGTGTTGGCACCCGTGAAGATGCGGAGGACTCCGACCGAGAGAATGATTATGCTTCTCCATTCGATGGTGGTGGATACATGTCTGACACCTCGCGAGGTGCACGTCTGGCTCTACAATCAGAACAACGTCAAGTCGAGATGGAGGGCCCGGAGATCATCAACCCGGATGCTGGGTCGCCGCGTCGGTTCTCATGCAACTCGCTTGCCGGCAGCTACATGGCCACGGCCCAAACTGTCATGTCTATGATTGGCAAAGATTGGCTGGACCACTATGCAAACATCTACTTCCGGCATGTGCAGCCTCAATGGACGTTCATTGACGAAGTAGCTTGGCGAGACGCGTATGCGACTCACTCGTCCAATTTGTCTGAGACTGCAACATGTCACCATTTTGTCATTCAAATGGTGTTAGCCATAGGTGCTCTAGTGAGCAGCTCCTTCCGCGCAGACTGTCCGCACCTTGTACATGCATCCAGTCTTCATGACGAGGCTATGAAGAAGAACCTGGGCAATGTTACTGGTCATTCGTCACCGCTGATCAGAACTCAGGCTTCCTTGTTGATGCTTCTGTATGCATTTCATGGACCATCACCAGACCCTGTATCTGGAAATGTCATATTGGTTCTCATGAATTGTGCAAATCTGATGGATGACAAACAGGAGGTCGATCTTCACGCTGGAAATCTTTGCGTGGACTTTGAGCATACACGTAACATGACTATTATGAGCTCCCATATCTTGAACGAGGTCGTGGCGTCAGCTTGGACATATCCCCAGCCATTCATGTTCGAGATTCTGGATGAAAAGGTGACCTTTAATCTCCGTTTCATTGCATATACGTCAAACCTAACAGACTTCAGATCTTTCAACATGCCTCCCAAATGCCTGCCGGTGAAACGGAGACGGGATTCTACAGCCACATATTCCAACTCAGGTGTATTCAATCAAAGATTCGTCACTTCAACAAGAAGCTTCAGAAGCTTGATCCCTCAGATCCATTCAGAGAAACTAGCCGACTGCGCTTGAAAGATGAACTTCAAGTATGGAAAGAGAAAATCGAGGCGGTCACGAATTCAAGCCCGAAAGACGACTTGGTATACCATGAACCTAGTTCACTGTCAAAACTGTACGACTACAGCTTATCAATTCTGGTTCAAGAACGTCCGTGCATGATGGGCCACGAAGAGGTTGGTCAATTAGTGGAATGCTGCAGCGAGGCGTGTCGTACCTTTCTGTCATCTCAGGAGAATGACTCGGTCATATACCGGACTTGGACAGCCGTAAGTCTAAACTTTCCCATGGGCCATCTTACTCTGCTGACTTAATGACAGTTGATGTATCAATTCAGACTCGGCATCATTTTACTTTACTGTTACGCAATGACGCCACCACTCCTTAGGACGGCAAACTTCAGTCTTCCTGATACCATCTCCGGCTTTGAATGCTGCCACAGAACTCTGGAAAGGTTCTCGATTAGGTGGCCTCGGGCTCTAGTATTCATGCAGTCCTTTCAGCTCCTGGCGGAGTCGGTATTCGATGGCCCTGCCTTCGGTGGCCAAGCATGTAATTCGAACATGCTTGACTCGCCGTCATCCCAGTCATTGTGTTCGCCATATGCCTTAGAGGGAGAGAGAAAATCTCGCATGCAGAGCTACATCGTCGAACTACGCGTACAGCATGTCCATCAGGCGGTAATTACCTTGATGGAGGAGATGCTTGATCGACCTCAGCACCAGGACCTGAATTACGAGAGATTGGACCTTTTGCCAAATATGTCAATCGCTGGCTTTGATTTGTTCAATTTCTGACTTGAGCTTATCTAATAAATAGCCGGGCTATTCCTCTACCTGTGTAATGGACGCATTTGACGTCTTTAATAGAGCATGTTCTGAATGAGTGTTAGACAACAAGCAATATTCATGTCATGGCGCTAAACGTACGAAGTTGATCTTGTACTGGGAGATCTTCTTCCATCCATCCTCATCGACATAGCTCTGCTCTGCCGTCCACTCACCTTGCTGCTCCTTTCCCCCGGATCTCTGATACGTGGTGACCCCCTCAATTTTGAGAGTAAGTGGTGACTCGTTCATGATCGAGACCTTCTTAACATCATGCACTCGAGAGTCGGTGTTGTTCCAGCTCTCTTCGAGGTACTTCTGAAGCTCTGGCGTAAGACTGGTGTCAGTCCATTAAATCAATGACGTGAAGAAGTGGAAGTCTCACCAGGAACTCCAGTAGGCCCATAGTCACCCTTAATGAGCTTGGCATTCTTGCTGAAGCAACCCGCCCAAGCAGCGCACGCCTCCTTTCTGTCTGCTGCCTCGTAGAGAAAGTCAATTCCTCGCTTGACTTCTGGTGCCAAGGCGTTGGAGTCGTACTCGTAGTCCAGGATAGCCATAATGAAGGAGATTTTGAATCGACTGGGGTATTGTTTGTGCTGGTACTGTATGATAAGAGGGTGAAAGTAAGTCTGTAATCAAGGAATTTTATATCTGAAGGACAAAAAAGTGATTTAGTTGGCATCATTGCCAGCCGCAAGAGTTGGGTAAGCCGCAATCCGCCTCCCGCAATGGCTCGCAAACCCCGCGCACAACGTCGGACAAAACTCCGACAGACGAATGTACGCCGCCGTTGTCGTAACACCTCTTCCTGATCGGTGTAACGCCCGCAGAGGACGGATTATCTCGACATTATGTGCCGAAGATAAGGAATGGGAAATGAGAGCTGCTAGTAGCTTGGGACGGTTCACGCTATCTGAAGCTAGTTATGAGATCTTCCCTCCAGGCAAATCTTTCATTCCCACTTCATGGAGTGCGAGAAGACCAACTGTTCTTAGGGAGACATCGTTAAACTCTTCGGGGCTTCGCATGAAATCTACAGGAACTGAGATTGCATCAAACCGCGCATCGCAAATACCATGTCCACCAAGAAGGCGGGATCTGGCATCGAGCCATGCCAGGAAGAGCCCACAGCTGGCTCAGTTCACGACATCAAAGATGCGAACGACTTGGACGATCAAGCAGCTATTTTTCTTCGAGAACATGAAGTTGAATGGGCCGGCTATGAAGCCTCTGAGGCCAAACGAGTTCTACGAAAGATAGATTGGCGGTTGATGCCTCTCATTGTGGGAACCACCATCATCGCCGCAGTTGATGTTCGTTGCAATCTCAGCTTGCATTTTGAGCCCTCTAGGAGACACACCTGCTGACTTCGGAGTCCAGAAAATCCTGATTTCGAACGCGGCACTCTACGGCATGAACCAAGACACCCATTTGGTGGGACAACAATATAGCTGGGGTAGGTTATTGCGTCCGTCATAAAATCGGCTTGCTCATTCTTCAACAGTGGGATCAATTTTCTACTTCGGATGGTTGATCGCCGAGTACCCTGCGAATGCCGTTCTTCAGAAGCTTCCAGTCGGCAAGACAGTTGGCACAGCGGTTGTCGCGTGGGGCGGCTGCGTCATGTGTCTTGCAGCCGCTCAGAACGCAGCTGGCCTGATGGTTCTTCGGTTCCTGATGGGTATTCTTGAATCCCCACTGTTTCCTGCCGTTACGATTCTGAATACCATGTGGTACAAGAAATCAGAGCAGCCCGTCCGCATGGCTATTACGTTCACGGGGTTCTCTAGCGTCTGTTAACCCGGTATCACCAAAGAAGCGTACCGCTAACATCCTTGTAGCTTGTGACAGGTATTGTCTCATACGGCATAGGGCATGCGAAGACTGGTATTGCGTCGTGGCGGCTTTTGTTTCTCGTCATCGGAGGGTTTACTGTATTTTGGGGAGCCATTCTATTAGTCTGGCTTCCTGACTCGCCACTTGCCGACAACTTCCTGACGGGCAAAGACAAGTACATCGCACTAGACCGAGTCAAGGATAATATGACTGGTATTGAGAACAGGGCAAGTTGACTCCTTAGTGCGTTTTAATGTGAGAACTGACTTGGTACATTACAGAAGTTAAAGTGGTACCAAGTTCGTGAAGCCTTTACCGATTACAAGACCTATATACTCTTCATATTCTTCTTGAGTATGAACGTACCGACAGGTGGCCTGGTGACCTTCGCAGCCCAGATTGTCTCGGGACTCGGGTACGGAAAGTTGGAAACTACCCTGCTCGGCATGCCGACGGGGGTGATGCAAAGCCTGGCTGGATTCATGGTAGCCATACCGCAAAGATGGTTGACAAACAAGAGGTGCCTGTCGGCAGGACTTTGCTGTCTCGTTCCCCTGGTCTGCTCGATTGTTATCAAAGGTACCATACCCGCTCCATTGACTGAAAGCCGTCACTGACAGCCTGCAGAGCTACCTCATGACAACAAAGTAGGCCGTTTGATGGCATACTACTTCTTCTACTTTTTCTGGGGTCCATACGCTACAGGTGAGCAATGCAACCCACACTCGGGGCACGCTTTCTGACAGAATATGCAGCGCTATCTCTCCCAATGGCAAACGTGTCAGGCCATACCAAGAAGCTTACCATTAATGCCACGGTGTTTTTGGGTTACTGCATTGCCAACATTGTTGGGCCTCAAATCTTTATCGAGAGAGAAGCTCCCAATTACACGACGGGATACAGCGCCATCATGGCCTTTGAGGTGGTGGCCATCGCGTGCATGGTAGCGTATGCAGTTGGATGCATGATTGAGAATAGAATCAGGGACAGAAAGGAGGGCACAGAAGTAGACGTCACTGTTGTCGATCAGCTCGGGGATCTGACAGATTACGAGAAGAGGGGGTTCCGATATGTTTACTGATAGATGCGGTAAATGACCTGCTGCAGTGGACAATTCTGATGTTGAGACCACGCATTATTGCGTAAACTCCCTCGTTCAATGTTCAAAACATGCGTCTAGTCTCCTCATTCATGTGGCAATTTTAGTCACTGGCTCATACGGGAAGTAAATAGCAAAATCGTGGATGCAGGTAGGGAACAAATTACAAACCTACCATTCACAATGGTCCTTATCTCGGCCTACTGGCTGCCTAAGGTGACGCATTTGAGAATTGTCAGTGGCTGGCTGGCATTGGATGCTAAAGCAAGCCCGCACAACTAACAAGCATCCGCAAGGCTTATCTCTGATTCAATTGCCACCAACACCGTTTGTAAAATTGGCGGGCTCGGCAAAAAGGGTGAGACTGAAAGACGAACAAGCGAGGCCGAAGCCCTTCAACGCTTACCTTAGGATTGAGGTCCTTTCTTCCAATGTCTTGCCTGCTGCCTGCATGTCTTACTTATCACACGCCGTTCGGGACCGAAGGGGACCAGGTGAATTCTCGATCATTCGATTCCAAGACAACCTTGGGCAGTCGATTGCAGGAAGTGTACCCGAAACCTGCTCATCGGGCCTGGAAAGATATATCAGAAGACAGGGACACCAGACCCAATCAATAATGTCCATCAGAAAGTCATGTGTGTAAGCTGCAAAGCGCCTCGTTGGAAGCGATGCTTGTTACCTGATTTCAAAGTACCGTGTTTGGCTTATTAAGAATGATCCAGGGTCTTTGACTGGATTAAGGCTGGATAATTGGTCATTGTTGTCAGAAATTCCTGGTTTTGCAGCGTCACACCATCTCTTTTCAGCCAATGCAGACAACATGTTATATCCTCATCACCTCCCGTTGTCAATGGTATATATCTCGGACCCGGAGTGATCAACCGTGGGGGGCCGGCACTGACAACCGGCTTGCCCCTTGCTCCTCATCCAAACTGTGGCTTTATTGGATGGTGGAGATCAGGAACCGAGTGTCATCCCATCTCTCTCCCACACCATTGACCAAGTAGAGTTTCAGAACAACGACGTGGGAAAAGACGTTGGTTGTGTGGGAGGGTGGCTTGACCGGTTTTAACGCCACCATCTGTTGAACCAGTATGGAAGCTTATTCCGTAAGACGCTTGTGCAAATCCGGTGTCGGCCCCACCCATCCGGACTTCCCCACCGATCTGTCCGGAGCCGGGGTCACAGACCGAGAGGATGCCCTTACGTATTTCAACTGGTATTTGGTTCCCCGCATTCATCCCTAGGCTTTCAGGTGTGGAAGCTAAGTGCGGTCCGTGGCACCGCGCCCGATGTCATATTCAGCGAGTAGCCCTCCGATTCGTTTTGCCTGCATCTGTCACCCCATCTCAGGACAACGCATTCACCTGGCTCAACTTACCAACTAGCCCCAAAAATCAGCATCTAATCTCAGTTATGGCGAGCCGTATTTCGTAGAGGCGTAGAGGTACCATCAAGCCACTAGCTCGTACGAGCACCGTTGGAACGACCCACTTGCGGCGAAAGGGATGCATGTAAGCTCGCCATCCATCCTCGGATTCGATGCTTGAAGGCCCTGTCTATGTACAAGTTCCGGAGGCTCCCTGCAGAAAGGTGTCTCTCTCACTGACTGAATTATGTCTAGTCTGAGGCAGGCATCTGCAAGGTCGTACACCACAAGTCTTCGAATGAGCAGGCACCTTTTTCCGCATGCATGGTCTCGTAAGCGAAATAAACACTTTTTTCACAATTTGATAGCAAACCTTGGTTACAATCACTTACCAAAAGCTTACAATCTTTTTCCATTAGGGCAGTGAAGCTGATATACCGGAAGATAACCAAAATGTTTCTCTGCCCTCGCGGGCTCATGCAACATGTTTCCTGATGTGGAAAAATGTTGACAGATCGTCATTCTAAAATCGACAGTATTACTGTATTGGCTCAGGCGCATGTTATTCTGGATGGCCATCCCTGCGCACCATCCTTCGGATCAGTCGCCAAATGTCTTCCGCTGTGCTTTTGAGACATGCACCATCTTGTCGACTCAGCTAGTGGGGGTTTGTAAGGCTTTTGTTTTTATGATGCTCGCATTAACTCAGGCCAAGGTATTATCCCCTTCGCAGAATCTGGCCATCCAGAGGATGCACCATTGGGACGAGCGGTTCCCCGGCATTCCTAGCTCTTGAACAATGGAGGGTGGTATTGCTGGACATGTGGATCTGAGAAACGGGTCCAGAACAGATATGCCCGGTACAGGCAAGATCAGCGACTCCATACCACACCACCCGTCGTGTATACAATGTTCAGTGGATGCCACTTACGAAACTAGATGCGGCACAGAAATTCAGCAGTCAGCTTTGCATCGGAAGAGAGACAGGGTAGGTGACATTGTGTAAACGCGCGCGAGTGGAGGCTCCATAGCCCACCCAGCTCCTTGGAAACGGTCTCGCCCTGCGGATGACGATCCTCCAGCTTCTATATCTAGGTTCAAGACCGCGCCCTCACTGTCTCGCAAAGTCGCTCCTAACCTCTTCATATTGTAGCTAGCAACCCCGACTGCATTCACAAGACTGCTCTTTAGAGAGATGGACAGTTTTGCTCTGGTCATATTCTACCTCGGCATCCTCGTGGTGCCAGGCTTCCTCTTTTCCTCTCTGCGCCGACTATCTGGACGGTCTAGCAAGGCGTCCACACACGATGCCCAAGGCCCCCAGAAGCCTGCCAGGTTTCCTGGTCCAAAACAATATCCCATCGTCGGTCGCGTTCATGACTTGCCCAGATTTGCTATGTGGTTGAAGCTGAAAGAATGGGCTGATGAGTTCGGTCCAATCTACCAAACCAGCATGCTTGGCCAGAAGTTTGTTATCATCTCTGACGAAGAGATGGCTCAAGAGCTTCTCGTCAAGAATGGTAACAACTTCGCCGGCAGACCACAGATCCGGGCTCTGATCGACCACAAACTGGGACCTGCCTATTCTGCATTGATGGATCGTCACGGTAGGTGACGGGCTTCCATTAATCGCAACACTTTCAAGTAGTAAGATTGGAAGCTAACTGAGCTCCACCTGACCAGACACTTGGAAATTCCAACGCAAATGGGTCCATGCCGCAATGGCTGCAGCACACCAGCAGCACTTCTACGGCCACATCGAAAATGAAGTCAAGCGCTGGCTTGTCACTCTGCTGCTGGACCCTGAGAAGTTCCACGGTAACACCCGCGAGCTTACGGGGCGGATCATCAGCCGCCTTGCTTGGGACGACGCCTCCCTTGGCAAGGCGTACGGTGACAGCGCCATCGCAACGCTGACGCAGATGTCAGTGTCTGGCCCTGTTGTCAACACCATGACTCCGCTGTGGCACCTTGGCGACCTCATCCGGTACAACCCCTGGCGCAACCACGAGGTGGCGCGGGAGAAGAACCAGCGCGCATGGTGGCTGCGATCGTTCCGCCTTGCCAAGGCTAGATACCGCAGAAGCGAGTTGCCAAGCGATACCTGGACGTACCGATACTTTGAGCAGTTGCAGAAGGCAGGCAATGAGACCCTAATGCAAAGTGAAAAGGACGAAGACTTTGCGGCCTGCATGCTTGGCTTCCAATGCCTTGTAGGGGTGGTGACAATCTCTGGGCCCATGCAATTCTTCTTGATGTGCATGGCGCTTCATCCCGAATGGCTGAAGAGGTGCCAAGATGAGATCGACAGGGTTTGCGGTGATCGGATGCCGACCAGGGACGATTTCGCAGAGCTTCCGACGGTGAGGGCTTGCTTGAAGGAGACACTCCGCTGGAGATCTGGCGTTCCTCTTGGTAAGGCTGTCCTTCCCACTATGACGTTTAGTTCACTGAACATGACTGCTAACAAATTCGAAGGTGTTCCGCATCAATGCGAACAAGAGTCAGACTTCAACGGTGTCAAAATTGAGAAGGGCACCATTATTCTAGCATGCGAGTGGTAAGTCAGTATCCATCCGATCTAATGAGCTATGTTGATGATTGTACTTCAGGAATATCAACCGTGTCCGCGAAAAGTACCCTGACCCTGACCACTACCGACCCGATCGATACCTAGAGCCTGGCTTCCCGACGTATCAAGAACCCCTCAGCCGTTATCCCAATTTCAGGGATGGCGTGGGCATGCACACATTTGGCTGGGGACGGAGAACTTGCCTCGGCCAGAACCTCGTGGACGATGAGATTTTCGTCGCGGGAGCTGCTGTCTGCTGGGCCTTCGACATGGGTCTGAAGAAATGCCCTGCGACCGGTAAAGACGTGACCTTTGACACGGAGGCTACGAACTCGAACGTCATCTTAGAACCACTGCCATTTCCAATGCAGTTCAAGGTTAGAAGCTCTGAAAGAGCACAAATTCTGTTGGAAGGCTACAATGCCATCAGAGATGAGCTGAAGGTTTAGGGTGTTCATCAATCATATTCAGGGACATGTGTTAGAGCAGCAAGTTTCTCATTTATATAAGGTCATCATAATGGACGTCTCCCCCACGTAGAATGATAAACTTTGGGTAATTACAGTTATGAACCTAACACTTCTTATCGTTTTTTAGGATTCGTTGGTATGAATATGTCATAAGTTTACCTCTTCTTGTACACGTCCCCAGTTCTCTCGATCTCAAAGTTCGCATCCTTTCCCCGACCTTCCTTCTCATACTGTCTTACCAATGGGACAACGTCTCTCCCGAACTGTTCAATCTCTTCGTCGTAATGGAGGAACGCAGTGAGCACCAAGTTGATTCCGAGACTCTTCAACAACACCAGACGCTCTGCAACCTGTTCCTTCGTTCCAATGAGCTTCGTCTTGAAGCCGTCATTGTACTGGACCAAGTCATCAAACTTGCTGTTGGCCCACATTCCCGTCATGTTCGAAGTGCTAGCTCCAGCCTGCTGAACAGCATCGCGGAAGGCATTGACGGCCTCCTTGTCAGCCTTGCCCTGGATCTCTTGCAGCACCCGAACGGCCTCCTCCTCCGTCTCGCGAACAATGACGAAGCCATTAACAGCGAATCGCACCTCGTTCTCACGCCCAACCTTGGCCGCCCGAGCCTTCACGTCTGCAATCTGGTCACGGAAACCGTCTAGGTCATTGCCGTTCATGAAGTACCAGTCGCTGACCTCGGCGCCGTTGTTACGAGCATCGTCGCTGTTGCCACCTTGGAAGATCTCCGGGTGAGGCTTCTGTACCGGCTTCGGGCTGAGCCTGTAGTCCCTGTAGCGGTAGAAGTCGCCTGCGAATGTGAATCCTGTGTCCTCGGGCGCGGTCCAAATACCCTTCAGGCAGCGGATGAACTCATTGGTGCGGCGGTATCGCTCTGCGTGCTCAAGCCACCACTCGCCCACAGCCGTGAACTCGCCCTGCGAAGGCTTTAGTGTCGATCATTCCCATTTGCAGTTGTAGGAAACCTACCTTGAACCAACCTGATACCAGATTCACGGCAATTCTGCCGTTACTATAGTGGTCAATACTGGCGATTTGCTTAGCAGCAACGGTGGGATTCCATGGGCCCGGGAGGATGGCAGCGATGAGTTTGATGGTGTCTGTGCCTTGGAGAATGGCCTGGGAAAATGAGACAGACTCATGTTGATTCGCGGCTCCGTAAGACGCCGTGAAGCGAATTTGAGTGAGACCGTACTCGATGCCTGCATTCTCCGCAGCTTTGGCGTACTTGATGTTGCTGGCGAGGTCCCAGTTTGTCCTTTGAGGGATCTTGCTGATGATCAAGCCGCCTGAGACGTTTGGTACCCAATACCTACGAGAATAGTCAGCTAAGGTATCTTGAGCCCGTGAAATGCAGTACATACGCGAACTTCAGACGGTCAGGATCGGTGTTGAGAGGATGCGGCTGGGCCATTTTGTATGGTTGAGTGAGTTGAACGTCGCAATGTGCGTGATGAGAACGGAGATATTCAGAAAAAGAGGCGTGAGACGTCTCGAAGCTGCAGCTGAAAGGTGTACCCGATGTCTTGGAGCTTAAGTGTCCCGGCCAGATGGAATCAAAGAATCAAGAATATGTGTTGCATAAGCGACAAAGGTGGGTGCGCCCTTGCAGCTTTGAAGGCAATGGGATGTGGGCATTGGGGGCCGATCTGTTGACCCCGATAATTGGGACGAGAGATCTGCCATTCTATTCTGCCGAAATCAACCCAAGGGTCTGGGAGAGTTTGCTCAACTTGATTAATTGGCCGAAGTCCGCGTAATCTTGGAAGGTCCAGTCGAATGTCAACATCATAGCAGCTCTGTCGTGATCTACAGTGCAACCAGACGATGCACGTCAAAGCTCAGATAACCCCGGCTTGGACGGACTACGACGAATCGCAGCACCTTTGATCGTAACACATGTGATGCATATCTAATTACTCCATATTCTGAGGCAATTGCATCATTGTTGACAGAATGACGAGACTGGCAGATCCCAGCCCATTGGAGCTTTCCCCACGTTTCAAAGACCCCATTTCTCCAACGGATTGCGCGAGGTGTGATTCTCCTTAGATCTGCGAACTTTATTTTAGTTCAACTGCCGAAGATGCGTTCAATCGGCAAGGTTGCATTCAAGAGACAGGGATAGGTAGATAAACTCAATTTCATTTTTTCGGGCGCCGCGCTGTCGGGCTTTAGTTCAAGTATTCCTTCAAGTTGCACTTTGTATGAGTGATCCAATAAACTGGAGTCTTCGTCCCTTTCAAGACTTCAACTCAGCTTAATCAACGTTCTGCTTTCTGCTTTCTGCTATTTCTCTCAAGCAATATGTCTATCCATTCATCGGTTCAGAATGGGACGAGCGAGAAAGCAATCGAGACCGTGAGGCCCGAGCCAGCTCTGGAGAGATCGCAGACGGTCCATTTGAGCTATCCAAGATTTTCGGCACCGCGACCTCTGCCTACCGCTGCTGTAAGTCTACATATTCGAATCAATGGAGGCTTCGGTGCTAACGCTGCGTTGTTCAGACTTCACTGCCAATCGGAGCCTTTTCGACGACTCTGACGACTCTTTCTCTGAGTTTGATGGAGTGGAGAGGAGTCACAACTACGAACGTCTACATCGCAAACTTCTTCTTCCTTGCTGCCTTTGGACTCTTCATTTCGGCTCAGTGGGAACTCACGGGAGGTAATGGCTTTGGCTACAGTGTTTTCAGTGCTTTTGGTAGGTCTACCGTCCATTCGGAATCGACAGAAACATGCGATTCGCTGTGAGGGCTTTTGACGAATCATCTAACACAAGTTGAAGGCCTTTTTTATGCGGGATACGGTGCAATCCTGACTCCCTCGTTTGGAGTTGCTGCAGCCTACGGCGATGACACAAAACAGCTCAACAATGCTCTTGGTCTTTTCATGATCAGTAGGTGCTAATCCGGTTTTGGGAAGGAAAAAATCTGACATCTGTCTTTCTCTAGTCTGGTCAGTCTTCGTCTTGGCGTACTTGGTCGCGACTCTCCCGACGAACGTAGTTTACATCCTCATCTTCATCTTCGTTGAGTTGTGCTTCGTCCTGGTTGCTGCAAGCTACTTCGCCTTAGCGGACGGCCACGCCACTGCCGCTGTCGGTCTGAAGAAGTCCGGAGGAGTATTCGCATTTCTCGCTGGCCTTGTCGGATGGTAAGACTTCTGTTCTGCCTGCACAACTCCCACTAATGATGCTGCCGCTTCTAGGTACTTGACATTCCACCTGCTGCTGAAGGATTCTCTCGTTGAACTTCCATTGGGAGACACGTCGCAGTACTTCCCTAAGACTAGAAAGAAGGTTGAATAGTCGTGGTTTCTAAGACGTGTCAAGCCTCAGGGAAACACGGTGGGCAAATACGTAGATTAAACCTGGGGCAGTGCATGGTAGGGAACTGTTTTCCCCCAGCTGAAAGGTGGACACATTGACAGTGGGGTTGCATGCCATGTGTCTTGTAGATGATAATAACTGTCAAACTGTAATAAAATTCGGTCGGTCGCATCGTTCGTTGGTCACTCGGATATCTTGTGGATGACGACATATTCATCTTGATCCAATTAGCCTACCAGATTCCAAGGATAGCATGATGCCCACCATCGGTTGCGAAATGAGCTCACATCCATTTAGCCGGAGCTTGAGGACATGGGCCCTAAAAGCTCTCCCGGACGCAGTAACTCTGTCCCTGCATGAAGCGTTATCGCTGACGTGGGGTGTCTCCGAGCTAGTGTGGGGAGCTATGGGTAGCTCGGCTTTGGGTTCGATGGCGACATATCACAACATAGGTGTGGAGCGTTGCGCGAGGGCGTCAGTCGGAGCCGGCATCTCATTATCCTGTTGCATTCAATGAAGAGATGAGGGGTTTGATATGCACTCAGGAAATGATAAGAGACGCGTTCTCGAATCTCACCGTGCATATCAATGAAGCAGCTTGCGTTGCATTGGGACAACATTGACACTTCGTGAGATCTTACTACGGATTTTGCCATACGATCGCTTCGTTATTCATCCGTCCGAACCTGCATTCTTCCACTCCCAAAATGACAAGCAACGCTCGTTCCGTCCCGTCGACGGACCCTAGCGTCTATGATGAGTTCAAGGCGAAGTGGTCGAGCCTCCCAACAGACGAGAGCAGCTGGTTGCAGCGAGCCAAAGACGTCGCATCAGTCTTGGCTCAAGATGCAGCCGCTCGAGAGAAGGAGAACAAGTCACCTCGCGCTGAGATCGCCCTTTTGAAGCACTCGGGCTTGTTGAAAGTTCTCGGCTGGAAGAAGTATGGTGGTGGGGAGCAACCATGGAGCGTGGGATACAAGGTGATTCGAGAGGTTGCCAAGGGCGATGGGTAAGTGCCATGGCTCGGGAAGTCGACATCTAAGCGGCTAATCAACCGGATTTAGCTCCATCGGAATGCTTCTTGGCTACCACCTGCTTTGGTCGACGACCGCAAATGTAATCGGAAGTCCAGAGCAGGCAGACCGTACTCAAGACCTCATCATCTCGAACAACTATTTCGTGGGGGGTGCTGTCAATCCTCGCGACAGCGACCATAAGATTACTTCAGATCGCGACAGCGTCGTCTTCAACGGCTTCAAGAACTTCAACACCGGCGGTGTCATCTCTGACTTGACGGTGCTCGAGGGTGTGTTGGAGGGAACTGAGGATCATCTTTACGCCATTGTGAAGACAGACCAGCCAGGCATCATCTTCTCGCACAATTGGGACAACGTCGGTCTGCGGCTCAGCGAGTCTGGCAGCGTCAAGATCGAAAACGTCAAAGCCCCTTGGGCGGATGCTCTGGGATGGAATGCCGCCGAGAAGAAGCCTGATCCCGCCATTCTCAAGATTCCATTTGCCTCTTTGCTTCTACCAACGTGAGATAGTCTAAGCCGTCGGATACCATTCAGCTGCTGACAATTTCTGTAGCATTCAGCTTGTCTTCAGTAACTTTTATATCGGCATCGCATGGG